TCCATGGACACTTACGTGACCTTCCTGTTGGCATTTGTAGCAGGTCTTGCTCTTGTTCGCAACTGAAGCGGTCTCACCAAGCGTACCAGGGGTTGCAAGGCAGTCCCTAGAGAAGGTAAGACGGTGAAATAAAAGCAAGAGGGTACATACCTAGCCATATGGTTGGGACCGCCACACCTGTAGCACTTTACAGGCGGCAAAGTGGCGGTATTGAGCGCCCTTCCGGGGGGAGGCGCCCGAGAGGCAAAGCCTCCCATTCCGTTGGCTCCGTTGGGACAGGCACGGGCAATGTGACCGAATCGGCCGCAGTTCTGGATAGAAAATCGGTGACGACTTGGATCAGAAGAAGGAACGGTAACGTACGTAGCACTTCTGATTGCTGCCCTGCTGCTGGATCCTTAAACTCGGGCATTCCGCTGGTACGCAGGTGAGGGTCGGTCCCCTAAGACGGTCCAGTACGAGACAGACCTTGAATATGGCCGACACCGCCGCAAGAGTAGCACTGTTTCGCAGAGACAGTACGAGGAGAAGGACAGGCAGAGGATTCGTGACCGGGCTGGCGGCAATTGTAGCACAGACGTTGCTCCGAGGAACAGTTCTCGGCAATATGACCGACTGTGCAATGTTTCAACGAATGGCCCGTGACAAATGCTTGCGAGACTCACGATTACCGCACTTGAAGCAACCCTTCCTGGAATACTGGAACGCCATGCTCGAAATCCGGACTTCTTCTGAACTAGAGAGGGGTAGATAACCCCAAAATTAGCAGGAAAAAAGGACGAGAAGACAAAGATACGGACCTCACTTCACCCACAGCCAGCTATCCGCTTACGACTCTGCCTCCTACGTGTGAAGACTTTGTAGAGTGGATGGAAGAGATGTAAGAGTGATGACTGAGCCCGGGAAGAATCTGATCGGATTTGGTCTAGTTTGGCTCAAGCTTTGACTTTGACTGCTAACTCTGATATTGCAACGAGCATCTCGTTCTACGTGAAGATCTTCTGGCCTTTTTATGTCCGTGTCTTGGACCACCACTATGGTTCCCAGTGCCGCTGGATTTAGGCGGATCAGCTGAGCCGCTGCCTCGCCGTTATCTCAAATCAATCACCTCCATTCCTGAGTCCTGACTGGATTTGGCATTATTCTGGACCTGACTCTCCAGTATAAAAGCCCTTTTTTTCCTCGCTTGAGACCTTGGGTTCGTTCCACCCCCACTTTCGGCCAGCTCCTTTCAATCAGTGTAGCCCCGCGAGGCTGGTTTGTCGAGGTCAGCCCGCCTTTCTCTGCTACCTTGCTCTCTCGCTGACTCGTCGCTAGACCTCACAGGACCTCCCAGCGTTAGACCGAACTTCGCGCGTTTGCGTCCATCGCGCTTCTTGTTTGGATGACGAGTGGCGTCCTTTGAGGTGTGTTGTTTCTTTCTCCGTCTTATTACACGTCGTCTGACCCGTCGATGCAGATGCTTCACCTCTTACGACGTCCTCTATCATCCTGGCAAAAGGCGAAGTAACGAGCGAGCAAAGAATGGTTCAATGTATGGGAGGGGAGTCACTATAACAGGCGCTCCGGATGTGTTCTCACAAGAGGCTTTATGCATATGTTTACATGATCTATCTTTCCTCTCTCTGGTGGACAGTACCGCCCATTCTCTTGTCTGAGTCGAACATTTCGTGTCCGAATCTCCGCCCATCCATCATTTCGCGACTGATGAATTCAACAACCGCGGCGTTGATAAACCCACCTAGTGGCGCATATATCCAATTGTTCCGCGTGTTCTTTATCTGCCGCCAGTCTGACATGTGGGCCACAGAGTCCTCATAATTATTGTCGCCGAAAGTCGACGCGTACGATCGAAATGAACGAGCCTTTTTAGGTGTCGCGTCTGCTTAAGCACGGTTACCCGGGACCGCATCGGGAGGTCGTGGCTCATCGATCAAGTTCCTTTAGGATAATAGCTGCAAAATTTGGGCCCCAGACGACGCAAAAGGCAGCTCATCTTTCGGGGCACTCACTCTTGATCCCAAAACACGTTCTAGATGATTAAAGTTATCCTGTCCAATAGATTTCCAGCGTTTGCCGGTGCGTTCCAAATTGCCACCTAAGAGCTTGTGTGTATAATCTGATTTCACGTCAAACCGCTAAACTAGCCCCAGATGGCCTCGGGCGGCGCAATAGCGTTATTTCTGCTGAGAAGGATCCCCCACTTCAACTCCGTGTACAAGAGTAAATGTATGTGGACATCCTCCCCAATCATGGCGCTAACTTTTGCTCTACACTATTGGCCGAATGACCCGTCGGTGCTGTGTCAAGTCATAGGATGCGACAAGGTGACCAGAGCTTCGAGATGAGATGAAATTCGCGGAGGCAGAATCTCTTCATGATAACCACCAGTTCTTCTGCCGCTAACCTACCAACCTAGACCGCATCCGACCCAAACAATGCTTGCGGGGATTGGAAAAGCAAGCCAGAGTCATATGCACCTTCGGCGATTCTTGCACAACGCCACTTGCTATCGACCGATATCTCTGTCGGTAGTTTGTTTAAGCATTCGAATGGTCCCATGGGCTGCACGAGTGAGAAAAACACCCCTTGGAAGGGCAGGATCAGAAGCTGCCGCCTTCGACTCCACAGTACGGGTCTCCGTGGTGGAGTTCTAACGAGGGGCGAAGCCGTTATCTGCGACCACATATTGCGAATACGCGGGTACTAGAATGTTCGACGCCGGAAGTGGGATGACACCCATGTGAATCACCCACTAGCTCGTAGTCTTTCGGCTACACTTTGGAGACCGGGACAATGCTATTGCGTCACGCTGTCTGGTCTTTTCAGCTCCGCGTCACTCCATCGGGACAAACGGGTGTCGGAAAGGCAAAGGAAGAGGTATTACGGTTCACGTATTCACAGAGCAGTTTTCTCGACCTCTTTTGGAAGGATGCTCAAACGACACTGTACGGCGTCACGTATACCCAAATCTCGCATAGGAAATGGTAGTCGTCGACCGATTTTCCAGATCACTATCAAGGACCCAAGCTAATGCGACACATCTCTCGTACTTGTTGGGGTTATCTGCATTTGATTACCCCTCGATGTCCCGATTATCAAAACCCTTTCGCAACAGGTAAACTACGTGGTGGTGGTCCTCAGCTGCTCTCCTCTCATTCCCAGTTCCTCCACACAATAAATTAGTTTCGACGGGGGTGTCATCGTGCGATGTAGAGTATAGCAGCGGACATATGGAATGGTTGGTGTCGCTCATCGTACTTGATTGATAAAGAAATTTTACTCTTCTGTGGCAGTGCTTACCCTGATTTGCGCTCTCAGCTGAGCTGATGATGCCCCAAATATCCAATGCTGCATAGGTCGCCGGTTCTACGACTGGTTAATTGAGGTATGGCAGGCCGGCTATAGATGGTGCGATACAAGAAATCGATTCCAGAGACTCTATTTGACGGGAAGTACTTGGTGGCAGTCGATGCTGCTGAGAGGACCAGAATCCAGGTCTGGTTGGGACTGGTTCAAGTCTACCGTTGACTCGGACGCGTGCTTGGGAGACTTTCAATAAGTACAACATTTTCTCCTGGTTTAGGAGACTGACAGAATATCTCTGCTCCTCTAGAGACAAGCCTCGACTACAATCTACCGGCTCCTGATTAACACTCAATTTGATATGCCTTGCACGAAAGTTTGAGTGCGGTGTCTTTGTATTCTGACCCGAACTTGGTCTACACACATTCTAGTATTTTCTTACCCAAGGATGGACCGCATAGCGACTGTAGATTTGTATTCCTTCGTGCTCACCCGTATCGTTCTTCGGTGGTAGTTTATCTTTCGATAGCTATCAAGCTATAAACCTAAATCGCTGACAAACTTGTGATGGTTCTTCTGAAGTATTTTAGGTGAAATGCGGTGATGTATTGTATCAACCCACACCGGTTGACGCCATCCTCCATTTGTTCCCTTTGGGAAGAATCAGACTGTTGATAAACTTCGAAAACGATGTACTTGATACTGATCGAAGAGTCTAAGACTGAAACGGCTAACTAAATAGTGCTCTTCATTCCGTAACCGCTTTCTGATTGACAGACCGTGTCGGTGTATTTACTTCGCATGCTATTTTTGCCTCTTGTGCTACTTACTATCAGCCGATTGGTCTGGTCGTTGACCAATGGACTAGTAACATCAATTGTAAGAGTTTCCCAACTCGGTTTCTAGTAGGCGATCTCCTGGATGGAGCCGAGCCCTTAGCGCTTTAGCAGTTTACAGATTCTTTAGAGTTGCGTCATCTCCAAAGTCTTCCTCTCGCCATCCACTTTCGTCGCGGATGCTGCCAGTACTTTCAGGCCAGATTTCTCAGGTGTAAGTGAACACTCACCTGCTCATCTCGAAATTTTCATTTTCGACGTCGTTGCGGTAATGTACGAAGAACTACCATCGAATGATGAAAGGCGTGACTTGTCAATAGATGTTAGTGATAAAATTTGAAAAGTGTGGGACTTGGAACCACCGTCCCACGCCCTTTCAGAGCAACATTCCCAGAATAAACTAAAATCTTTCGAGGCAAGAATGAAGATTCAAACTGGTTACTACAGATTAGGGCAGTGCACACCTAGAGTAATTACCGGGTAAGTTACTTCCTCTCGCTGGAGGGATTTTTTTCGAGGCAAGTAACTTAATTACTAATCATGTGACTGCCAACGAAGTAAATTTTCATTACAATTGAATGTATATCCTTCGTACAAAGTAGAATTAGAGATATCAAACAATCCCAGGTGTATAACAGCTCCTGAGACAGAAAAAGTGGATAAAAACGCGAAGATACAGGACCTGAAAAACAAATCCGCAGGGGATAGGTAACAGTAATTTACTGCAGCAAAACTGCCCCTCCTGGGGGGTGGCCATTAACAAAGGTTTACTCAACTAGCTGGAAGTTTCGTGGGCTATCTAACTGCAGACTTTTAAGTTTTCAGAACGCATCAGCCTTCAGCAAGGCAAACAAAAACTGACAGAAAGGGGATTCGAACCCCTGCCATCATACGATGATGAGAAACCCGGATCGGGCAAGTCTGATTATGTGATGATCACATAAGCTGAACTTGAGTCACACGCCATAGACCGCTCGGCCATTCTGCCACGAATGACTGTCTAATGAGTACATATACCTTCCCCCCGTCAAATGCACAAAAAATGGAGGAAAACGCTTTTGAAATGAGGGAGTTCTGGGAATGGGGATGGAGGCAGAGACGCAAACCCGATCGTAAACGATCATGATCGTGGTGAGTCTCTTTGAGGCCCGATCATGCTTTTGCTACGTAAAGTGATCTCTTTTGCAACATCCATGTTCTTTTGGTCATCGGTTTCAACGGCAACACTACAGGAAAGTTCTAAGGTATTCCGTCATCGCCAAGAGGGCCAGGCTCTGTCCGTATGGCATACTTGTCAGAGGTATCTGCTTGTACGCCTCGATATTGTCGAACACAGGGGTTCCAAATGACACCAACCTCAACTCGCCGGCTTCAGTGATGTTATCCAACACAGCTTGAATCGCCTTCTTCGCAGTATTAACATATCTCTCATCCTTTGGTATCAGTCTCAGCCTCAGCGCTTTCATGATTCCGTACGCGAATCCAGCCGTGCAAGACGCCTCCAAATACGATGTTGGATCGTCCAGAATGGTATGCCAAAGGCCGGTCGCGGGGTCTTGATACTTCACCAAAGCATCGATTTGAGCGACGAGAGAGGAGACTAGGAACAGCCGGACGCCGTCGGTTTCAGGCAATTGAAGCATCTCGACAAAATCCGGAATGGCTACTGTTACCCAGCAGTTTCCCCTGCCCCATCTCGCCCGCCCAAAGTGGTGTCGTCCATCAAATGTCCACCCTATTCATGGATGTAAGTGCAGGCCGGAGAAGCTAGGACAAACATCTACCGTGAAACCAGAGTCCAGTCTGGATGTCTTGCAGATACTTGATACTATAAACGGTAGGTAAATGCATCATCTCTTGCGATCACACAGACTTACTGTAGCAAGAATTGACGCTTGGCTTCTTCAACATAGGCAGGCCTCCCCAATACGAGCCCAATCTTCGCCAAAGGCAAGACGGACATCATCAGTGTGTCGTCCCAGAGTTGCTGGTAGTTGTCAACAAGATACGTGATGTGCTGCAGACCGCCGTCTTCGGTTCTGGGCATGTCGTACATCACCCATTCGGCCCAAGAATCCAGATGGGCGAGATAACTGGCGTACTTCCCCTCATGAAGGTACGCGGCGGTCAACAATGGGGACATGGTATTGACGTTCTGCTCCAGAAGTCAGGCGAACGTCGTGTCTCGAAGAAACGATTCACATACTTTAGTAGTTCCAATTTCGAAGCGGTCTTTAAACCATGCTAGAGAAATATCCAGGGCTTCCTGATCACCGGCGATTTCGTGAAATTTCCAAAGTCCGTAAAGTCCTGTTTTGCGCTAAGGTGTTTCGTCATTGATACCGGAAATCACTAACCAACTCCATGTGTCCACTAGAATACGCCAGTCAGAAGCCGGTCTCTTTAATGACGATGATATCACCTCCCAGTCGTTCCACCCTTTCGTATCGATGACCCTTCCATCTTCCAAGGTCAGGAGGAACTCTCCGGTCTCATCTTTGATGTTCACTAAGCAATTGATGAGATTGCGGATATGTTGCAGGGTTTGAACCTGCACAATGGATGAGGAAAATAACAAACTGCGGGCGATATGCGGGCTTACCTTTCGAGGGTTGATATTTCTAGACGACATAGCGATGAAAAGGAGCGTTCTGGCTGCAGATCTCGCTTTAAAGTGTGTGGGGGGAAAGGAAACGGGCCGCGGACCGCCAGCCGGGGGCATGTGGGGAAATAACCAGGTGCAACTGCGGGGCCCCGGACCAATGATCGACTTGTAGCAGGTCGCGTACCACTGTTAGGCCAGGGGCAATCACATCACAGGATCTTCCGATCCCCTTTCATGGAATCGTATAAAAAGTTTGCTGATGCTTCTCAGAGGGTCCGAAGTTTCAACTTCTCACTATGTCGGACGTGGCGAAGGACTTGCAAGAACATGTTGAGGATGTCGAGAAAGGCTCCTACCGCACTGGTTCTCCTACCTCTGGTAACTGCCTCCCCTCGCTTGACAATTCGTCACTGGCTAAATATTCCCTCCACTAGGCGCACCGCCAGCCGGAATTGACGCCGAAGTCGCCAACTTTTTCGCCTCGCAGGACACGCCTGTAGTCATCGACGAAGCGACAAACAGGCGGCTTAGATGGCTGGTTCACAAGCGTGTCTTGGTACGATATTCTATATTGCTCTGCCTTCTGTTGCTCACAATTCCTATCCGCTAGCTTGTCATGGTCGTCACTTACTGTAAATGTGTTTGTGTCATTTCAACGTCTTCTGTACTTACATTTACCTTCAGTTGCACAAACACTGGATAAAGGGTGATTATTCGGCTACCCTCCGATATGGAAGCGTGTCGTTTAACACCCTTCATAGAACAATCAACTTTGCTTCGATCATGGGCATTCGGACAGATACCCACCTTCAAGGCCAACAGTATGCCTGGTTGACTACATGTGGTAAGCATTAACATTTGGGTTTTGGGCAGTTTTCTGACTGTATTTCAGTCTATATTGCGATGTAAGAGTTCACCATTTCGCATCTTTGAAAATGTGTAACATGTACATAGACTCGCCTGGGAGTTCCCGACTAATCGGCTCATTCAGCGACTTCCTATCGCGAAATATCTTTCGTTCAAGTATGTGTGCTTATCTCCCGTGTCATAATGGAAGCTTAGTCTCGTCGATAGTATCATGGCCTGGGGTGCCGTTCTAGCCTGCACGGCGGCTTGCAACAACTTTGTAGGTTTGATTATCGTACGAACACTTTTGGGTATGTTTGAATGTGTCTGCCAACCTGCCTTTGTTTTCCTGTGAGTTGGCTCCGTATTGTGGAAGATGCATCACTGAAGAAGGAAGGTCTACGATGTGGTATACTCGAGAAGAGCAGGCTTTGGTCATCGGGTCGTTTTACTCGATGAATGGTTTCCAGCAATGCGTCGGCGGTCTTATTGCCTATGGAATTGCCCAGATCACAGACGCCAAGATTAAGAACTGGCAAATACTATTCACTGTACGCGGCCTCCGCTTTCCGCGCTGTCTTCCATTTTCTAATCGATCTATCAGTTACTCGGTTGCGTCACGTTCGTATGGGGTATCTTCGTCGGATTCTGGCTCCCAGATAGTCCCATACGGGCCAAGTACTTTACTCCCGAAGATCGCATTCTTATTGCAGAACGCGTCAGGAAAAATGATACCGGATTGCAGAACAAGGAGTTCAAGGTGAGATTATCCTTACTCACTCTCTGTTGTACTCTAATTTAAGTATTGCTACAGAAACACCAAGCGAGTACGTTGCACGTATGCACCCACAGGACTTACAGTCCTGACCTCCCTTTCAACAGTGGAGGGCCTTTTAGATCCAACCATATGGGCTATTACCCTGATCTCCTTTACGAATGCTTTGCCCACTGGTGGTATTGGTGCATTCTCAAACATCATTTTGACCGCATTTGTGAGTACTGCGTCTTCTTGTCGCCCAGATAGCCGGTGTTAACTGTTAGAAGGGGTTCACGGTCCTGCAGACCTACTTGCTCGCCATTGCACAGGGTGAGAATGGCCAGATTTACCTTTAGCCCCCAATTAACCGTTCCCAGGTGCCATCATTATGTCCTTCTTGTTCAGTGCAGCATATCTGTCGAAAAGATACAATCAAAAACTTCTGCTAGCTTTCGTAAGTCGTCGCACACCAACGTTTGGACCTCCATGTAACGCCTTCGTTTGTCAATAGCTATATACTCTTCCTAACATTGCTGGCACGATTGTATTCATCTGTGTAGAAACGTCTGAAAAGACAAAAGTCGGGCTTCTGATTGCTTTTTAGTATGCATATTTTCTTGGTCCAAAACTCTATGCTAACGATGCCCCAGTTGTACACAAGGTTTCGGCGCCGTTGCGGTCTTAAACTTGGCAGTGATGTCCGGAAATGTCGGCGGGGTATGTGCAAAACAATGCCTCGCTAAGGATACGAATTGACAATATTCGCATAGCGGTCCAAGCAAGTGATCGGGTCAACGCTGGTGTTCATGTGAGTGCATTTGCATCTTTAGAAATCACTAGATACTGAAACCTTTCCTAGTGCGTGGGCAGTTGGAAACGCTGTGGGACCACAAGGTACGTTTTACCTTTCCAGCACTACATATCTGATGATAATGTGAGTTTAGTTTTCCGTTCTGATGACGGCCCTCGATACGTGAAAGCATGGATCTCCCACATGGTCATGTACGGGCTCCAGATCGCAACCATCTTCTTCCTCCGAGTCCGGCTTATGCATTTGAATGTCTTGAAACGCCGCGCGCAATCACTGAAAGAGAGTCAGGCTAGCGGTGAAGATTCGGTACGCTCATCTCCATCAAAGCCTAGGCTTTGTGTTAACCATTTGCCCTCCAGGATGAGCATCTTGCCCATCGACGAGCTTTTGACGACCTCACTGACCAGGAAAATCCCGACTGTGCGTATCTGCTCAAACACTGGTAGGTTTCATGGACTGACTTTTTGAAACAGTCCGCTACGTCTACTAACGCTCCTTCACGACACTCGACTATATCAGTGATGATATCCATGTTATGTACAGTATTCTCAGAGCGTCTTTGTAAACAAGATGCATATTTCTGTCAAGTAAAATACATTGAGATCAATAACCCGTTTCAAATGAGATGGTACACAGCACAACAAAAGACCGAAAGAAAAACAGTTCACTGTTCGGCATCTGGAGGTTTGGAAAGAGTAATGTCAAGTCTTGCGGCGAGTTGGATGACGTCGCGTTCAAGTTGAGAGATCCTTGTTTGCCTGTAGATCCAGTTAGTCGAGGGGCCAGAAACAGATCCTTTAGCACGTACTCGAAGGAGGATTTCTTCCCGAACTCAAATGCTTGAGAAACCCCGAGGGTCTGATTGGTTTGAGCATGCTTAGCTTTCCATGCCTGCTCTTTCTGCAGTAGAGACTTCAAATCAGGGAGTACACGAGCGTACTCTCGCTGTATCTGCGGCGTCCAATCATG